TAGTTCTTATAACTAATGGCATTTATTCAATAGGCTCGCGGTTTTCACTATTACTGACTATTCGATCTGGAGCCCCGCCAACCTGTTCAAGTCTTTCTTCACGGCTCCGGATCGGGCATCAGCCCTACTGGCCACATCAGTGATGGTCGATTGGCTCTTTGAGGCGTGAGTGTCCTATCAAAATTTACCTAATTACTCACACATCATCATGTAAAAGGTTTTCAAAAATCCTTGAATATCCAGAAATGAGATCATATTCCTTATTGACCGAAATGATCTGAATTTCGAGCTTTTGAGGCCTACTTACATTAAAAAATTTAATTCCTAAACCATAAAAAGGAATCACAGAAACATTGAGATTTACCTACATTTAGTTCTTATAACTAATGGCATTTATTCGATAGGCTCGCTGTTTGGTAAAACTTCCTTGACATGACGGCTAAGCGTGGGCATCAAATCGATTCAGTAGCGTTGCCAAATGCTCAGCACGGCTCCAATCGGTAGCTCATAATTTGTAAATGATACTACTCTAACTCTTTATGCTGTTGTAGGTAATATAATGTAACATAATGCCTTTTATTCGTAAAAGAAATGGCATAGTAGCACATATTAAATGTAACATCATGCACATAATCACAATTCCAGACTCCGTGTCACTACTGAGACGTATATTGTAAAACTGAAAAAAAAAAAAACTATAATGCTTTGCCAGACTTGGGGAATAATGCACTTGGCGCACCAAGCACCAACAATAGTTACGTTAAATATAGTGTAACTTTTAAATGTAATGATAAATGTATCATTAATATTTCCCTTCAATCCCTCTTCCTTTTCATCCTCATGCTATGTTTCTGTTGTGTTACTTCCTATTACTACCATATTATTGATAGGAAACTGTATTCTAAAACTGAGCGTTAACCCTGCGTTTGACAGGAGTTTGTGTGAAATGCAATCGAATTTTGTTCACTGAACGATCACTTGTTTCAATTTAGATTCAGCCGTGATCGTCCATTGTGGGGCAAAATATTAACTATGCTCTGTTTAATACAATACTCTTTTTAGTAAGTCTTAAAATGAAATCACATTACAGTAACGTGCAATTTCTAAATACGTTGGTGCATTAGTTATATCGCGTGAACATTGTCGGCTTAACGTCAGATTTGCATGCCAGGTTAAACTAGCAAAGTGACGCATTTTGGCCTTTGTAACTAACCGATGGAGGCCTTAACATTGCCTTTGAAATAATTTTGACGAGCACTTAGCTAGCAACCGTTAAGAATCGCTTTTTCTACTCATAATAATGAAACTTGGTTAAATTCTTAGCTCCTGTAACATTGTTTGCTCATCAACTTTTCAAAAGATGAAATGAAAAGCGTAGGTTGTGTTTTTGCACGACAAAGGCCGCTTATCTCCGGTTATATGAAGTTGTATGGAATATTGACAATTGATATTTTATCTATGTATTTAGATGTGAGTGTGACTGCCTCATCGGTTCAGGCAATATGTAAAACCGGGTTAAAGTACATACATAAAACTGATAAAATAACTGGCTAAAAGTTTGTGCGCGATACACAACTTTCTACTCCGTAAGGGATTAAAAGAGCCATGAATATACTCCTAGTCGGAAGATGCCGAAATCAACTTTAACCAATGGCAATTGCAAAGTACAGAATAACATAATGTAAAGTTAACTTGCTTTTAACTTTAAGGGATGTACGAAAATTTTTACCGTATACCATAATTTCATGGCATGTGCTTGTACTTACTGAGAACTTTAAATTTTAAACTCTTTACTTAAAGATTTAACACGAGTTACCTTATACCTACTCTGAACTCTGAAACTTCGCATCTCAGAACAGCCGCAAGTCATAAAATACACAGCTTTATTCGTCGCATGGATTACTTCATATCAATTTATATCCGAAAACAAATCCGTCTATTTACCTAGTGATAATTCACGATACAAATATTATATATGAAATATAATATCTTACCTGCTATCGTTGTCAGTCTGGTGTTGGCTTGATTCTGAAATCATGTGTGGTTTGGAAATGCCATTTTTTGTTTTGTTAGTTATTTATTCTGTTAGTTATAATCTGTCTTTATTTAAGGGGGACATATCATCTAATGTCTCCTCTCGCCTGGTTGAGGCTGAGGCGAGAGAGAATGTGAGACTCCTGAATAAAAACCACCCCGTTCCTACTCCTACTACGAGTCTTCCGCGGCTCCGGATGTTATCTGTCTCAAGCAGAACTCTGTAAATGCATCTCGGGACATTTTACAATTGATTTTAATACACCAGATACAAGAACAGATTATGTAACGCAACACTAATTAGTATTCATCCGAAAAACTTCAGCCATACTCTAAAATAAAACACTTCTATTTAAGAACACGGAAGACCAGTATTCCACAAACACTTACATTCATAGACACCGATTTACAAACATCAATGGTTTAGTTCCACTAGTCTCCAATATTTCTACGATGTAGGTTAACGACGGGAGATCGGATGGGAGGTCGTAAAATGTCGTCGGATACACATCCATACTTGAATCGTATACCAGATTACTATTTGCTTTAGATTTAAGGAATTAAAATCTGGTTTAAAGATCCTTTAACAGGGTATTGCTAAGAAAATTGCTTTCTTGAATAATTTTCTAGCAATTTTGAAATATCAGTTCTTTTTGTGGACTCGTGGTGCTTTGAATTTGTAGTCATTGTTTCGCTTATAAAATACGAAAATGATTTATCTGTGTTCGTCAGTCAAATACTGCGATGTTGCCCTACCAAACTCAAAACTTTTGAAAGCCATAATTTGGTACTTTTGAAACGTCAACAATTAATATAAAATAAATAATAGTCTGTCAGTCTGTCCGTCAGTGAAGCTAGGCTATGATTGTCTACCTTGTAGATTTGATACTGGTTTGTGAATGAAAATTCATTGATGAAGACAAGGTCAATTATCTCTATTAATCATAGTAATTAGTACATTGTAGACTAGCGAGAAACAATGTGCCTTCTGAAATCCTTGAGTTTCTAAGTATATTTCAGAACTAGCAAATACTTTATTTAATCAACGCAGCTATATATGAACTAAATATCCTACAATCTGATTAATTAATACAGTTTTGTTCCACTAAAGATAATAAAGGCCACGTGTTTTCGTGGTTTCATTGCGGACCATATTTTTAGCCGGTCAATGACTTCTAACATATCAGTTTTTCTATTGCTCATAACACTGAATAACTGATGAATGGATATCACTTTCATTACATGGACTAAGCACACTTGGATTTTCATTATAACATAACATAAACAAATACTTATGTTTTCTAGCGTATAGAAATTAACAGTGATCAGAGTTTGAATCACACCAAATGGTTAGTCCATGACAGATATCATTATTTTTGATTTGTAAATATCGCTCATATTTTCCTACCAAATATATATATTATAACCCGGGAATCGAACCCGAGACCCCTTGCCGGCAGTCGCACTTGCGACCACTCGGCCAACGAGGCAGTCTTTTATTTTTATTTTTTTTATTCTGTCTTTAATTTAATTAAATAACTTTTTTTTAATCCTTTTTTTTTCTTCTTTAAATTTGTTAAATGGTATGACCACGATAAAAAATATACCTCTATTATAAGCAAACATTTTGGAAATTGGATGTTAAAACTACTAGGTATATTAAACATAACATAGAAACACATTTTAACATTATTTACAGTAATAAATTGATTCTTGGAATGTAAATAAAGTACTGAACAAACTCCACGGTACAAGTGTTTGCTTAGGTTAGACCGACACAAATCTTATCGTAGTGTTGTGTGGTCACACAGAATTATTTACAACACAGACAGTAAATACATAGTTTACAATACACACAAAACAAACTTACGACGGCGACGTTGATCTTTGTGTAAATTCTACTAAGACTATTAAGTAATGAAGTCTCGTATATTTTTAAAATCGTTTTTATTGCTCTGTTTCTTTTCACTGCTGGCCATAGATCTCTTCAATAGCATGCACACTGAACACGACCTTCAATGAACATTCATTTGGTTACATACAACGATATGTGGCTGGTTTATTCCTTCGAAAGCAATTAGCAATCTAAGAAGACTGGCCGATGTGGTACCATGTCTTATTTCAAAGGAGTTTCGTCTTTGGTAACCGCTTCATCTTTATTAAAGAACAGCATGACTATTATCAGCAGTAAATTAATAACCAACTTTAATCCATATAGGTTTTTCACGGCACGATTTTTCCCGCTCTCGTCGCCGCGGCTGTGGGCGTTAAACCTTTGTAGAATACAGATATGTATGTAAAAAAACAAAGCAAAATTATCACGGTGCGTTTTACGCCCGCGGCGGTTGCGTTAATGCGGTTCCCGCTGCATTGGTGGCGGTCCCGCAAATGTTGCGTGCACCCGCGCGCTCTGCAATCGGTTGGCGGGCGATCGCAATGCCAAGTTTGCGGGCGATAACGGCAACCGCGGTGGCTGCGGGAACACAGAAAACTGCGGGCTCGTAGGTTTTAAAATTCCGCCTCTATTCAAATTCGCGCCGTGAGCCCTTAGCCTAAAGTCGAAAATCGATCCTAATCCAAATATTTTAGATGAACCCGTGGTGTGCCAGCCACGCGAGACACAATGTATATTCTCTTGTCTTTCAAATACCAGCAGTCAATGGTTAACATCGATTTTTGACATTACTTGTCCATCCATCAAAAGATTGAGATTGGTTATTAGTTTCAGCAGTAAAAGAATGTTCTCCTATTGTACATTTCGTGAGAAATACTTGATAGTTTCAAGCCAAAGTTTCAAGGGATTTATTGCAATGCTGTTTATGAATATGAGCCATTAAAGTGGCTAGTTAAACTAGTCGAGTTCCTTGTGGAACTGTTACGTGAGTAAGCCGGTAAACATAATAAGTAATAAAGTAAAATGATGTGTCAAAAGTAGCGCTTGTCTGAATGTAATATTGTGTGTGCAGTCGTGCGGCATCTGTGCCATGTTCCCGTCGTGCATGTCGCTGCTGTCGCGGCGCGGGGAGCAGCGCGCGCCGCGCCCCGGCCAGGCGGCCGTCGTCCTCAACGTCTACGACATGTACTGGACAAACTGGTAAGTACATACATAATAATAATGGCTAAAATACATCACCGTGGCCACCAATCGGCTACAAGTATTTGACGCCCCACGCAACACGACATCCATGGAAAATGTATAATCCGATATGCTGCTGGCCCGCCACGACACACTGCGCCACGGTAATGTATGTCTGTCTTAAGTACTGTAAGACCCTATTTAACAATGTTTTCTTATAGACAAGGGTTGAAACGATGGTAAGTGTTAAGCACATACCATGGAAACCTGCGACACCAGAGGAGACATAAGTGTACCTGTACTTCAATTTTTATAGTTCTCTCTCTTTATCTTTCATTATTTATTTTTCTCTTTGTAATTTTTATTTTCGCTCTCTTTGTCCCTGGTGCAGTGGCTGAGCGATCGGCGCGCGAGATAATTGTTTAATCCACAAAGTGTCATTTGATTACTATAAAACCACAAATTAATAAATTTCTTAACTTCATGTGTCCAGGTATACGGCGGGTGCGGGTGTAGGAGTGTTCCACAGTGGGGTACAGGTTCACGGCTCGGAGTGGGCATACGGCGGACACCCATACGCCTTCACCGGCGTCTTCGAGATCACACCGCGGGACGAACGGGAACTAGGCGAACAGTTTCGTTTCAGGTAAAAACTTATTTTTAAATCTAAATCTGCAATTGATCAAGATTGTACCTGAACGTTGTCTAGTTGGAAAGTCCCTCTTATTTCTAAGTAGGGTTTGCTTGACTGTGCGTCTACTTCGTCCAAAGAAAATGATAATATATTTTTGTGTTTGCCTATGGGTGTATTTATTCTGTTTTTCGGCACATGCAACCACCAACTGTTACTCAGATCTTTCATGTGTTTATCATAAATCGTTGAATCCTACAACACTTACTAAGATTCAGCTTTCTTAATCTCAATATTATGCTTGTGTTTTACTCATTGACTTCAACTGCTCACTTGAGAAGGGCTGGTGGTTTGAAGAAATCAATCCATAATGAACGTTTGTTTTAACATACGAGTATGAGTCAATACTAAGATTATCATGACCATTGCGAATCTTAAAACACAAAACAAAATAGTTTCTAACGTATTATTCTTTCATTTTTTCTGTAAATCGAACGATTTTTTTTTATCGCATAAGCCAATAAACGAGCAGACGGATCACCTGATGGTAAGCAATCGTCGCCCATGGACACCTGGAACACCAGGGGCGTTGCAAGTGCGTTACCGGCCTTTTGGGGATTAGGAGTTTGAGGATCGTTGGGGATTCAGGAATTGGGGAAGGGAAGGGTAATTGGGCCTCCGGTAACCTCACTCACACGACGAAACACAAGTACACAACGCAAGCGTTGCTTCACGTCGATATTCTGTGAGGCCGTGGTATCACTCCGGTCGAACCGGCCCATTTGTGCCGAAGCATGGCTCTCCCACACTTAATAGAAAAGCAAGGTGTTTATAGAGAGATCCGCCTTCAAGGATTTTAAACCAGCTCCCTGAGCACTAGTTTCCTGCATAGATTTAAAATATTGGAATTTTGATGAAAGAATTTGTGGTAAATGATATTATTTATATTACAGACAAAGTGTGCACATAGGTTATACAGACTTCAGCGAAGACGAAGTGAGACGACTGGTAGCAGAACTCGGCAAGCAGTTCCGCGGTGACAGGTATGTATTGCTGACTAATATTTAGTATAATTACACGAACAAACTAATGTTCTATTAGGTCTTTGCCTACATATTAAATTACCTATTTATTGAAAGTAAATTCAATTGTAAAATTAAGTTATTAAAAAGTTTAGATTAGGTACCTAGTTTTCACCCCCGGTTACGCCTGCTGTGAAAAAGTCTTATAATCTTATTCGTACTCCAAATAAATGCCTGCAAATGAATGCACGGATAGCGCTGTGGCTGGACAACTGGCTCCCGTGCAACGTGTAGCGAGTTCGATTTCTGTACGGAACATCTCTTCTCTGTGTGTAATCCACAAATTATTGTTTCGGGTCTGAGTGTCATTTGTATGTTTGTAAACGCATTCATGATACAGGAAAAACCAAACACAGTAACAAACATACTTTCGTATTAAATATCAGTTAGTATGAAGTAATATTAAAGTTATTACTTGGGATTTACACTGGACAGCAAATAAACCGAGCCACCCGCTACCTAGGCACTCTAATTCGATTTTCTCAAAAACTACAAAACCTACCATCATCAAAGTTGTACGTACAGAAAGTGCATTTCATGGTGATTAAAATGAAAGAAAACTCATTGGGTTTAATCAATATTTCAGTGTTTATTAAGGATTTTACAAAGAAGAGTCGTTTTCCAGTCGTGACAATCGTTAGTAATGAAAAAGTGAAAAAAAAATTAAAGTCAAAAACAAAGATAAAATAAAAAAAGTAATTGATCAATATTCCGTATTCCCTCCCCTTGCTCGGATAACTGCCAGCATCCTTGTATTCATCGACCTTATGAGCCTGACGATAAAATCTTGAGGAATTGTATTCCACTCCTCTTCAATTGCGATTCGCAGTTCTGGAAGTCTTGTTGGAGCAGGTACCCGGCCCCGAACCCGACGTTTCAGCTCATCCCATAAGTGTTCTATCGGATTCAAGTCCGGGCTTCGAGCTGGCCAGTCCATCGTACGAATGCTGACGTCGCGTAAATACTGGGTCACCACATGAGCGACATGAGGCCGTGCATTATCATGCATCAATTGCATATCCTGTCCGATATATCCTGCATAAGGTACCACATGGTCTGCGAGGATTTCAGTAATGTAGCGATGAGAAGTCAATCCACGTGTACGGCCCGTCGGTTCGATGAAAACTAACGCTGTATGTGCTGTTAACGAGATGCCGCCCCAGACCATTACAGATCCTCCTCCATAAGCAACAGTTTTCGATGCAACACTGAGAATAACGTTCTCCAGGGCGACGATATACTCTCTGACGTCGATCACTTCCATGTAGACTCACCCTGGTCTCATCAGTGAAGAGTACATTACTCCACTGCTCTAATGTCCAATCCCTATGCTCTCGAGCAAATTTAAGTCGTGTTCGACGGTGTGCTACCGTTAATGCTGGGCCTGTTGCAGCTCTTTTTGGGGTCAGGTTCCGTTCAGCAAGTCTCCTTCTGACGGTATCTGAACTTATGACCACTTGGCGTTCGTCACGCAGACTTTGTTGGACTTGAACTGCGTTGAGGTGGCGATTTCGCAGAACAGTAAGGTGGATATAACGATCATCTGCTGCTGATGTAGCCCTAGGTCTGCCCGTACCTGGACGGCGATCGAATGCTCCAGTCTCTAGGTATCGTCTGTAAACTCGTTGCACCGAAGATCTGCTGATTCGAAGCCTTCGAGCAACTTCACGTTGCGCAATGCCTGCTTGAAGTAATGCTACAGCTTGAGCTGCTTCCTGAGGTGTTGTATCCATTATTAATCGGAAAAAGTAGCAAAAATACACACGTCTGAGCAAACGATGGAGAAAAACTAAAGAAATGATAGGAAATATCCGACTACCCTCATTGTAGACAAAAAGAACGCTAATTTCAATCTCTGGTGAAAACAGAGCAAATCATTAGCATTGTGTTTGTTGCTTAATTATAATGAAAGTTGACGGTACTTTCGAATTAATCTGTAGTCATTTTAATCACCATGAAACGCACTTTTTGTAGGTATAACTTTGATAATTGTCAGTTTTATACTTTTTTAGAAAATCGCATCAGAGTTCCTAGGTAGCGGGTGGCTCGATTTATTTGCTGACCAGTGTATAATAATATATTAAGTACATATACAGAAATAAATAGGTGATTTATTTACCTTTGTATGAATTGTTTGTGTGAAATTACCGGGAAAATCGGTAAATTGCAAAGTTTATTTATAGTTTTATTCACATAATTATAGTAATACAATATTTATTTCGTGTTTATTTAAATTGATGTTTATGAACTAGACGCGCATCTAAACGCGACTTCGTCCGCGTGGAATAGCGATTCACACTTCACAGCTTCTTCCCCGTAGTTGATAGCGTGATAATATGTGGCGTATATGTTGACCCGACTTGTAAGTAATATTCATGCGAAATTTGAAGTAAACCCATGCAGTACTTTTTGAGTTTAGCCCGGATATACATACAGACAAACAGACAAAACTTCTATAAACCATATTTTTGGCTTCGATGTCGATGGTACATCACGTCCCAAGCATTCTTTTAAAAAATATTCAATGTACTGTTTTCACTTTCCTACGATTTTTAGATTTCAGAGGTCGAACAATAGAGGTTCTTTCTTACCTCTGTTAAGTAAGACTGAGACTGCATGGTGGCGCTGTAATCATTTTAAGTCACATCTCTCGAACATTGCAATATGTAGGAAAATCCCTTTCTGATATTTTTAGTCTTACAGAATGTAAGACAGCCTCGTTGGCCGAGTGGTCGCAAGTGCGACTGCCGGGCAAGGGGTCTCGGGTTCGATTCCCGGGTAGGGCAAAGAATTACTGGGTTTATAAAAAAATCTCAGTAGTAGCACGGAGTCTGGAATTGTGCCAGGTATATGGCAATAGGCTCACCCCCTATTACATGGGACTCATAACATAAATAGTGAAAAGTGGGTGTTACATTGTACAGTGGTATAATGTGCACCTCTGCCTACCCCTTCGGGGATAAAGGGCGTTATGTATGTTAATGTAAAAAAAAACCTATTGCCGCCTACTCGTACATTTACTCGTAGCTACATCTTTATAAATAAAAATGTGTTTCCGTTCGTTAGTCTCGCTAAAACTCAAGAACGATTGAATCGATTTGGCTAATTTCGGTTTTAAAATTTTCGTGGAAGAAAAACAAAATAGGCGATACGAAGTTTGCCGGGTCAACTAGTACAGTATAATTTTTTGAACATAGTACTTAACTATGAGACAGTAAGGACTATATTCGTCTGAAACCAATTAACTGAATGTGTGCCTCTTTCTCTGATTACAGTACAGTTATTAGTTGAATTATAACAAAAGCATTACTGGCCAAGGTTGACGGACAATAACTGTTATCAGTTACTGAGGTTATCGCGATCAAACGGACAGACTGTTTTATTGTGCTCTGTTATATTTTGTAGGTACAAACTCAACCCGCGTTAATTCGAACCTCTTTATAATTAAATGTTATGACTACGTCCCTAGAAAATCTCTTTATATTTCCAACTAAATCAATACATTTTTACGCATTTGGTAATTCGAAAAATCAATAACTAAAAATCACGGGTTACTCATGTGAATATATTGAGAAAAGCTCTACTAGTTTCGAACCACAGAGGGGTTCTTCCTCATGAGCAGCGTGCGCGGTCGCGGCGATGTCGCGCAGCCTACCGCCGCCGCGACCGCGCACAAAACTAGTAGAGCTTTTCTATCGAACCCGAGACCCCTTGCCCAGCAGTCGCGACTAATCGAAAGCAAGGCAGTCGGCAAAATTAAAAACAAATTTAGTAAATTAACTCGTCGAGTACCGGTTTTATAGACACAATTAAAGAACAATAGGTCGCGGTCACCGGTGACCGCTTGGTGTTTGACAGTTTAATACAAGAATTATAAAAAATTATAATAACAACAAGAAAAAGTAAATAGTAATTTGCACATAACACAAAACATAAACACATGTTAAATAACTGTATTTATTAATATTTATAGACTAGTAGCTTCTGCCTTCCACTTGCGAGCACTCAGCCAATTAGGCGTTTATAAAAATTGCTTATAAAATGTATTCAAATTCAAATTCAAATTCAAATTCATTTATTTGCAAGAATACATATTTACAAAGGAAGATCTTATAGCCTCAAAGTCATTGTATTCTGCCTGCGAGCAAGCGTGCAAAGTATAAAAATTTTAAATTAAAGACACCATAATAATTTTCACAATTACAGTACAATATTTACGTTGGTATCATAGTCATAGACATGTTACATCTTAGTCGTAGATACATTACAGTCATACAATACAAGATAGTCGATTACAAGAAAAAAAAAAAAAAGCAATATAAGGTCGAATCGAAAACCTCCTTTTTTGAAGTCGGTTAAAAATGATTATATCGACGGTGTACATTATTCAACCGCGAAGTCTGTATAGGTATATGTACTAATGATTTTCTAGCCAAATTATTTCACACAAAAAAATCCCCAACTCAATAGTTATACAATACAATAGTTATTAGATATTATCTATTCTATACATTTGTCATTTAAAAAATCATTGATTGTGTAATATACTTTCTGTATCAAAAATGCTTTGAGTTTGTATTGAAAGAAGCTAATGTCTGTATGGATTTAATAGAATCTGGTATATTTATTATAAATTTTTACACTCACACAAAATACACTTGATTTAAACTTAACTGTTCTACTCTTAGGTAACTTAAGTTCATTTTTATGTCTTGTACTTATCATTGTTTCGTAATTACTGATATCGCGCTTTGTGATTGAGGCTGCTTCCAATATATACATTGACGCCAGAGTTAGGAGCTTTAACCTCCTGAATTCCGCCCTGCATGAATCAGTCTGTTTAAGTCCACATATACTTCGGATACATTTCTTTTGGGCTTTGAATGCAAATTCTTTGTTAGTGGAGTTACCCACAAAAAATAGTATACCATACCTAAGTGTGGAGCTCACATATGCATGATATACATTTAATAGTACGTTCTCATTTACTACTTTTCGAAGTACATGGAGGGCATATGAAAACTGGTTTAGTTCTTGCATACATCGTCCACCTGCGTTTTCCAGTTAAGTTCAGAGTCAATATGGACTCCTAGGAACTTTGCGTTATTGACTTGATTTATAGTTGTACCTTATAATGTATGTTAATTTTATTCAATTTTGTACTTTTATTTGTGAAGGACATAGTGTTGGTTTTAGTAATATTTATGTAAGTTATTTAATATCATCCAGTTTTAATGTCTTCAAGAGATTTAGTCACCTGTCCTTCAAAATCCTCTTGACCGCTGTCAGCAAAAATTGCCGTACCGTCGTCAGCAAACAATATGATTTCTTGGTTTATAGAACCCGGTAGGTCATTAATATATATAATGAAATAGAAGAGGCCCGAGGATACTACCCTGGGGACGCCAAATTTAACAATTTTTGGTCCGACATGTGAAATATGTTCGTATTTTGTGTCCTTGTCTATTTTCGTTATACTTGTTATCTGGTATCTATTAGATAAATAAGAATTTATTTGATCTAGTGCATTCCCTCTTATCCCGTACTTATCCAGTTTGTCAAGTAAGAGTTATGGTCAACGTAGTCAAAAGCCTTAGACATATCCATAAAAATAGCAATCATTTGTTTTTTGCTGTCTAATCCGGTCATTATTTTTTTCAGAAATTTAATAATAGCATCAATAGTAGATCTACCCTTACGAAAGCCAAATTGTTCATTTGTAAATAAGTTACTGATTTCAAAGTAATTGTATAAATTGTTATATATAACCTTTTCGAAAACCTTCGCTAACACCGGTATCAATGCAATAGGCCTGTAAAAACGCATATCCTCTCTATCTTCTTTTTTAAATAAAGGTTTTATAACAGTAATTTTTAATTTCGAAGGAAAGACACCACGTTCTAAACAGAGATTGATGATGTCACTAATTACTGGAGCTATGATACCAGATACCCGTTTTATTATTTTCGTATTTATATTGTCATACCCTGTACTATTGGTATTCCTTAGACCTTTTATAATTTGATCTATTTCATGTGGATCGGTTGGTTTTAAAAAGATGGAATTTGAGTTTTTATTATATGTTTTTGTAGCTGTAACTAATCTTCTGGAAGTAGGTTGTACGTCATCAATGAAATAGTCATTAAATAACTGAGCAATTTCCTTAGGCATTGTAACCAGTTGATCCTTTACTTTTATTTGTGCAATATTTTCTTTCGGAGTTACTGTTTTATAATTATTTACTATATTCCACACTGCCTTTCCTTTGTTTGCAGCTGAGTTTATGTAATAGCTGTTTTGTGACTTCTGTGTTTTTTTTATTATAATTCTAAGTCTTTTTGAATAGTCTTTAAACCTTTTTTTATCATTTGGATTTCCCGTCAGTCTGTACTTCCATAATAATTGGCGTTTACGGTTCGAACATATACGTATGCCTTTACTCAGCCACGTTAGCCTCTTTGCAATAGTTATTTTTACACGCGTGTCAGGGAAACATAAATTGTAAAAGAGTCTGAATGAATCATAAAATGTGTCAAATTTTTTTTCTGGGTCATTATTAGTGTAGCATTCGGTAAAACTGAGATTTTTAATACAATCTATAAATTTCGATATATTTTCTTCGGAATAATCACGTTTAACTTTATACCAGTGACTAATGTAGTAACTTTTCTTTACTGGACAAGTCAATAATTGTGCTGTGTGATCGGAGAGTGAAAGTTCCAATACTTTTATTTTTGAACCTCTGATATTATGCGCTATATTATCTATACACGTCATGCTACTCAGTCTAGTGGGTTCGTTTATTGTCAATGCTAGGTTAAAACTGGATAATATCTGATCAAATTGTCTGGATATATTATTTCTCTCAAGTCTGTTAATATTAAAGTCACCGCATATAATAATTTTCTTGTTTGTGTATAATACATTATTCAATAATTCTGTTAGCCTAGAAAAATAAAGATCTAAAATGTCTCGTCTATTTTTAGGTGGTCTATAAATGCATAATATTACAATTTTGTGGTCAGTAAGTTCGATACCACTACACTCGAAAACATTTGTGACACTTAGGGTTCGACATTCAGGAATAATTTTAAATCTGTGGTTTGTTTTAATCATTATACATGACCCTCCACTCCGGGTTCCACGCGAGAAGAAATCTCCCAATATGTAATTTTGCAGTTTAAGTATTTTTGTATCTTCCGAAGTCATATTGTGTTCGGTAATGCATAAAATATCAACGGGATTTTCTTTATTATCCTTACCTATAGAATACAGGTGTACATTTAACTCATCCAATTTAGTAATCAACCCATTGATATTTTGGTGCAGAATATTTAAATGTTTATAGTCGAAAAAACTCATTACTGGTATTATAACGTTTATCGTGTTGTTCCAAATCATTAATATTTTCTGTTTGAGTACATCTTTCAGTACACATTGGAGCAGGGTCAATGCTGCGCTTTTCCGTCGAATACTTACTGAAGTTTTGTTTATAAGCAATACGTAAAATTTCCCTTAATGTCAATTGAGATATATGCAATGCTAAAGAACCATAGTCTGGAACAAAGGTTGAGTAGTTCATGCCTACGTAATTTGTGTGAGTGTATTGTAAACAAATAAGTTTAAATTTACAGTTCAACTTTCTAACATTCAAATGAGTATTATACAGTACTTCAGAAACGATCACATTAGTATGTTGTGTACAGTTTAAAAAATTTATCAAACTAATTTGAGTATCAATGGGGTTTTTATCGTTGACTCCCCCCAATACAATAACAAAGTCACTCTTCCCCAATAAACTTATTTCTGTTTTTTCGGTGTTTAAGACTTCCCTCAATGTTGCCCCTCGTTTCCAGAAACATGTAACTAAAAATTTATCTCCTAATAGTTTTTGAAGGATTCCCTGAACGTAGCGTCCCTGCTGATCCGCAATAATAACAGCTTTCCTCTTTCCATTGTAGCATTCCGCATTGCTCATTTGTTGCATTGTATGTTGCTTTTCTGTAGTGGTTTGTTTTATTACGTGAGTTTTTAAGATGACGTCATTCTGTTGATATTGCAATGATGCCTCCAAGCTAGTTTTGTCTGAACTATGGTTCATCTCTGATCGTGTAATCTCATGAATAATTCCTGCATTTTGTGGTTTGCTTACCTGCGTATTGCAACTAGTTTCTTGTATCATCAATGCGTTTGGTTGCTTTTTCTCTATTGCAGGCGTTCTAAATAATTCTTGATTTACCTGTGTTGTTAAGCAAACTTGATTTTTATTCGTCGCAGGTGTTTTATTCTTGTTTAGGCTAGATCTACGTTTGTGTTGTGAGCGAGGAGTAAAATTTGTGTTATCTGTGGAGTTTATTTCTTTGTAAGCATTTATTACTTTGATGTATTTCTGCAAGTCCGTCTTCAATCTAAAATTTTCGGAGTTTAAATTTTCTATTTCTTGGTGGGCGCTCTGTAAATCGTTTGACAATGTTTTAACTTTTTCCTGAAGATCCATAATTGTTTGACTCGAATTCAGAGATGTATTTGGCAGACTCATCATAGTTGTGTCAAAAAGGAGTGAATTTTCTTGACTAATATCGTTGACCGAGCTTGACTTAAATAATTTTCGGGTACGAAAAGTGATATTTTCCTCCATTATTATTATTGACAAAAAAACCAAAAAATTGAAAAGAAAAAAAAATAAAATTTTTTTTTTTTTTTTTTTCAAAAAGAGTAGGTCAGTAGTACCGTTCGCTGGAATCGATCTCGGGATTTGTCGTGTACAACGCTCAAAAGCAAAAGGTATTACCATTGAGCCATATCAGTCAAATTTGTAGTGTCAAATATATGACTCCCAATGCAAATGCTTGCTTTATTTCAATTTAATGGCGGTTATTATGACTCATGTAGGTATTAGGAATTTTTTTGCACTTTTTCTTTGTTCGTTCTGTTTTACCACACTTATGATATACTTAGGTACCTATCATCTATCTTTTTAACGCACTTTATTACTTTGTCCACTCCTTGATATTATTGTGATTTCATTGCTCTGAACTTCATTTTGTCGTATTTTATTTTGTTGTATTTTATTATTTGTTTCAGGTACCACCTCATGAACAACAACTGCAATCATTTCACCTCAGCATTTTGTTTGGTGAGTTACTATTACTCTGGCCGCGCTCAATGACCTCCTGGATTCCAATCCAACTAGTGATCTGTATGCGGACGGATGGAAGGAGATTTTATCGGAATGATTGAAGTACTGCGTAAGAAACTTATGAATGGTGTTAACTCTTGATTTTTTTTATGGCATAAGCCGGTAAACGAGCAGACGGATCACCTGATGGTAAGCAATCGGCGTCGCCCATGGACACCTGGAACACCAGAGGCGTTGCAAGTGCGTTACCGGCTTTTTGGGAATTAGGAGTTTGAGGATCGTTGGGGATTCAGGGATTGGGGAGATTGGGGAAGGGGAGGGTAATTGGGCCTCCCTTTTGATTAAGTTTTACTTTTCTTTGGTTTATGTTTTATTGTTGTTAATATGTCTGTTACTGTAATTGGAATTTAATTTAATTGTTTTTATATATAAAATAAATTATTCTACTAGCTACGCGCGTTTTCACCAGATAGACTAGGCTCCTATCGATCCTATCTATGCCTATATTGTTTTATAGCATATAACCTTTCTCGATAAACAGACTGCCCAACACAAAAAATTTTTTTCAAATCGAACCAGTTGTTCAGGAGATTGACGCGTCCAAACAACCAAAGCTCTCGTTTTTTTTTAATCTTTATTCTTCTTTCTTCTTTCTTTCTTCTTTACATAGTATAAAACAAAGTCGCTATCCGCCGTCTGTCTGTCCCTATGTATGCTTAGATCTTTAAAACTACCTAACGGATTTTGATGCGGTTTTCTTTAATAGATAGTGTGATTCTTAAGGAAGGTTTATGTGTATAATATATAATATGCATATATATTGCATCCGTGCGAAGCCGGGACGGGTCGCTAGTTATATTTAAAACAATTTGTGTACAAAATTATACAAATGGCGGACTAAATACTAAATGGCATTCTCTACCAGTCAACCGTAGGTTTTATGGTTTCAGTTTCATCAACAGCCTATAAATGCCCACTGCTGAGCAAAGCCTCTTCTCACACGGAGAAGGTTAGAGCATTAATCACCACGCTTGCTCAATGCGGGTTGGCGATTTCAAACTTATAATTAGAAATTATAAGTCCAGGTTTCCTCACGATGTTTTTCCTTCACCGTTTGTCAGTGGTGTCTAAATAATCTTAGAAAGTACATATAACTCGGAAAAAGTCACATTGGTACTGGTTTCAGTTTAGATGTGGTAAATGTGGTGATGGTAAACATAACGCTATGCCCAATAAGCTGAGCAGCGAGTGAAATCGATCACCAGTAGCTTGTAATAAATAAACTAAATCGGCCAAGGCTTTATTATTTAATCAAATATTACACTACTAGATGCCCGCGACTTCACGGGCATCTACCAGTCACGCGAATGGTGACTTTAAATAGTTCTTCACAGCTCCTCTCCTGTAGGTGATAACGTGATAATATGTAGTCTATATGTTGACCTGGCCTGTTTGTAATATTCATGCAAAATTTTAAGTAAATCCATGCAGTACTTTTTGAATTTAACCCGGACATACATACAGACAAACAGACAAAAATACCAAAGACTATATTTTTGGTTTCATTATCGATAGCAGATTATGCACCAAGTATTCTTTTAAAAAAATATTGATTATAGTACAGTTTTGACCTTTCTACTGATTTTATTATATGTATAGAAATAGGTATATACTAATTTCAAAGTTTAAGTTGTAATTCACTATGTATAATCAGTTTTGCATACAATTTCCTAATTTACATTCCAAAGTCGTTGATTTATTGCCTAAAGTACATTCAAGGTTTCATTACATGGAATGTTGTATTCAAACGAATAAATTGTAGTTATTTCTTGAAATATTATGTTTCAAATAATAGAATAGAATACAACTTTATTGTACACCATTAATAATATAGTACATACAGAAAAGGAAATGACAAATATAAATAAAAATAATAATGGGCACAAAGGCGGTCTTATCACTAAAAGTGATTTCTACCAGACAACCTTTGGGTGGATATAATGAAAAGAAATATTTAGACGGGTTGTGTACTAAGAAAATAAATAAATAAAGTAGTAATAAAACATACCAAATATTCACTTTGAGCTTGAAACTTTATAAGACAGTAGCGAAAACTGGATATGTTATGTTTGAAATAACATAAAATCCACAACGCCGTACCCGGAACGTATCGCGGACTTGATTCCCGGACGGAGCAGTTCTTTGTGTGATCCACAAATTGTTCCGGGTCTTAGTCTTATTTGTATGTGAATTTGTAGGTTTGTAAACGCACCCACGACACAAGAGAAAACCCCAGTATAAGCCAACGTTTAAAAAAATCTCGCTAGCTATCCATCTTGTCGTGTCAACAGCGTTGTCAAAACCATATTAAATTATTTACTTTTTTATTACACCTAAACTTTCCTTAGGAATCTCACTAGCTAATAGTGTGAGCGTATCTTTCTTTACTTTTTATCTTTCTCTTTTACAGACATAGCAAAAAACGCACAAATTGAGTAAAGAAATACAAAGTTAGAAATAAATCAAATAACAATAATCTTAAGGGCCTCTGCGCAGTTGGCTTCGGCTCGTTGTACGCCTCCCAAATGACCGGGACCTTGTGGTCCCGTGAATGGTAAAAACACTAATTAAATAATAAATCTTAATTCCTTTATAATATGATCTGTCAATGAAGTTGTTGTGTTTACGGAACTTGGCATAATTACTAGTTAGCACAATGCAGCAATTATTTATTGATAATGCTATAACTATCGACTGATAATTATGCGATGCGCACGCGCAACCACGTGTACATTGAGACTATTTGAGATACAACTAAACTCGTATTATACTTTATTTGCCAGCGACTTCGTACATACAAGTAGAAGTTTCCAATTTAATCGTTCCCGTAGGAATTAACCCGTTGAGCGTCCGTGTTCCTTACGATCCAACGGGTGCACACGTGACATTTGGAGAAAGAAAGAAAGTAAGAAAGAAAATGCATTTATTTGGCCATTGGCACACGAAAACACGGATCATTACAATAGAAATAAAACAAATACAGTCAAAATAAAAACAAAACATTAATAATAGATTTTATAAAAGAGAAAGCAGCATGGAGCAATTTCTAAGTTAGGTCGGAAACTTTTCACCCTCCCCTGGTAGCCATCTTATATACATCGTTCGAGTTTCATGCTCGTTCTTTTCTAAAAGTATCACTCTGGTTAAGCCAGCCCGTTGGTACTGAAGCATGGCTCTTCCCCTCCCACGTACGTGAAAAGCTTTTATTCTTATTGGCTGCTTGATATATTCATGGATAGTTCTGTCGCTAGCCTTATGCGCTCAGCTCAATATCAATGCTACACGGGGTAGCGCGTAGCGGGTTGTCGGAAACGAGTTTATCTCGGCGCCCATCCGTAGTGAGCTACGGCGGAAAGACGAGGGAAATGCAAGGAGATTAGAAAGCGATATCTAAGTGTACGTACCTACATAATGGCTTATGTACAGTTTTTTGATACACAGAAGGCTCTAAACAGACGAATCGCATTACAAATGCAAATTTCAACTGCAAATTACTGGCCTGCTTGCATGTCCGCATGCTGTTTGAACGCACTGCAATAGAACTGCGATCGGACTGCCCGTTTAGTTTACAACTGTTTGGTCATAACTGCAATAGAACTGCAACCGGACTGCTCGTTTGGTTTGCAACTGTTTGGTCATGACTGCAATAGAACTGTGATCGGACTGCCCGTTTGGTTTGCAACTGTTTGGTCATGACTGCAATAGAACTGCAACCGGACTGCTCGTTTGGTTTGCAACTGTTTGGTCATGACTGCAATAGAACTGTGATCGGACTGCCCGTTTGGTTTGCAACTGTTTGGTCATGACTGCAATAGAACTGTGATCGGACTGCCCGTTTGGTTTGCAACTGTTTGGTCATGACTGCAATAGAACTGCAACCGGACTGCTCGTTTGGTTTGCAACTGTTTGGTCATGACTGCAATAGAACTGTGATCGGACTGCCCGTTTGGTTTGCAACTGTTTGGTCATGACTGCAATAGAACTGCGATCGGACTGCCCGTTTGGTTTGCAACTGTTTGGTCATGACTGCAATAGAACTGTGATCGGACTGCCCGTTTGGTTTGCAACTGTTTGGTCATGACTGCAATAGAACTGCAACCGGACTGCTCGTTTGGTTTGCAACTGTTTGGTCATGACTGCAATAGAACTGTGATCGGACTGCCCGTTTGGTTTGCAACTGTTTGGTCATGACTGCAATATAACTGCGATCGGACTGCCCGTTTGGTTTGCAACTGTTTGGTCATAACTGCAATAGAACTGTGATCGGACTGCCCGTTTGGTTTGCAACTGTTTGGTCATGACTGCAATAGAACTGCAACCGGACTGCTCGTTTGGTTTGCAACTGTTTGGTCATGACTGCAATAGAACTGTGATCCGACTGCCCGTTTGGTTTGCAACTGTTTGGTCATGACTGCAATAGAACTGCGATCGGACTGCCCGTTTGGTTTGCAACTGTTTGGTCATGACTGCAATAGAACTGTGATCGGACTGCCCGTTTGGTTTGCAACTGTTTGGTCATGACTGCAATAGAACTGCAACCGGACTGCTCGTTTGGTTTGCAACTGTTTGGTCATGACTGCAATAGAACTGCGATCGGACTGCCCGTTTAGTTTACAACTGTTTGGTCATGACTGCAATATAACTGGGATCGGACTGCAATTTGCGGCTGGATTGCAGTTGAAATGCAGTCCGACTGTCTAGAGCCTAAGAAAATAAAGATTGACTTAGTGTAGACACTGGCGATTGCGATGATGGAGTAAATTATATGGCTTTAAAGAAGCTAATCTTCTGTAACCATTGGTCGGTTCAGTAGACAAATACCTGCTACTTTGTAACAGTGCAGGACATATCGGTATATGTACGGTGTATTGGTGAAAAATGGCCTAATTGTCGAATTTTGTCGTGTAGTGGACGCATGAATTTGTTACCACTTACGTCCCTTACTCAAAGTAAAAGACACATTTAAAAACAAACCTAATTTATAGGAGATTTATAATCCAACGAACTGGCACGGGTTTTAGGTGTGATTACATTGGTATCAATATTTTACATGAATCGACTGACACAAATAAATGAATGTGTTGTTACAGGCGCTATGCGACCACGACATCCCAGCGTGGGTGAACCGGCTTGCGTACGTCAGCTCGTGCGTCCCCTTCCTGCAGCGGTGTCTGCCCAAGTGAGTAGCTACGTATATACTGAGATTTTTTTAAAAAAAACCCTGTAATACTTTGCTAGCACGGAGTCTGAAATTGTGCCCGGTAAATGGCAATAGGCTCACCCCCTATTACTTGGGACGCATAACATAAATAGGGGTGAAAAGTATAGGGTGAAAAGTGGGTGTTACATTGTATAGTGGCATTAAGTGCCGTAACGTGCACCTCTGCCTACCCCTTCGGGGATAAAAAGGCGTGATGATATGTTGTTTTTCTTTTCCAAGTCCTTATTTAAATAAGATTACTTGTTAATGTGGTGTGTGTGAATGTGTAAATAAAGAAATGTCCGACTGTCCGGCAGAGAGTGGCTGACCCCGGCCGCGCTGCAGCAGTCGCTGGCGGCGCACTCGCGGTCCTCCTCGCCACAGACGCCACAATAGCATCGTGAGTACTAATACTCAAGTCAAATATTCAAAAATATCATAGTTTTTCCCAGTCGTGCAAACAGCGTGCGGATCTTAGCTCAATCGTGTGCATTTAAGCCCTATCCGGGTCTCAGTTGTGTGTAGAAATGTTTTTATAGAAGTATACTTACAACCCTAGCCACAAACAGGGTTCGGACCGGATACGATTAAAATTCGTATTAAAATTAAGGTACAGTTTTGTGCATCCATCTGCTTTCAACGATTCTGACCGTATGAGCTAAGATCCGCGCATACTATTAGAAATTCGCATGAATGATAAAATCCGCCTAAAAGTTGGTTTCTTGTAGTGTCCGACCGAAGCTTCGGCTTCGGCCACCTTCGGCCAAAAAGTCCACCTTCGGCAAAACATTCGGCTTCGGCCCAAAGCCCGGCCGAAGCCGAAGGTTGTTATTGTTTCATTTATTTTGAATTTTCTAATATTTGCTAAATTTAATTGACCAACATTTAATTATTTACTAAGAAGTTATGTTTGTTTATTTTATTTATTAGTCTAGGTTTGGTCTAGTCCAGTAAAACAAAGACTGATTGATCTAATTGTAATTTGTAAAATTATTCATAATAAATAAAGAAATGATTACTTTTACCAGTAGGTAAATCACAAACTTTTATTAATCTCTAAACCAACCATCTCTTTGATATATCATAAACTTCTTTATAAGACAGTCAATATAAACCTTCAATATTGAGGTTTTGAAATAATTTTAATATTAATTGTAGCTTGTAGACAATATTGAACAAAATAATTGACTGAGTGCTGAGAAAATATAAACCTTCGGCTTCGGCTTCGGCCAAAAATACACCTTCGGTCGGACACTAGTTTCTTGTCTAAGTTTAAATTATTTTAAAAAGATTCTTCCGCAAATAATTTTGGAATCTCTTATTTTATTGTTCATGTACCAAAGATATTGTGATATTTATTTGTGGTTTTTCTTTTTCTCCAGAATATGTACTGCTCAGTTGCAGATAAGCAGTCAGAAGTGTTGTGCGAACTAATTCATACTAGAGTTAAAATTAGCTAGTACTTGGTTTGGCGCATTGTCGATGGTTACTAGAGAGGCGGAGTCGCACGCCGTTGAAATAAAAATTTTTAGTCGATTTTCTCTATGGCATATTTAAAAAATCGACTAAAACAACACAGTGACTTAATAACGGTTTTGGCGCGATTCCGGCCTTTGTTATATTAATCTAATTATAATTCAATCCTTATGTTAATAAAAACTGAGTTACCTCTTTCTTTTTCTAGAACGAGTGAAAGAGATGGCACCATGTTGCTCAGTTTTTTTTAACAAAGGATAGATTCTTACACAGTAGTGTTGTCCCCCAATTTAAGGGTTCCTATTTGAATACGGAACTTGTATTTAACGAATATTTAATGTAACTTTTAAAGGAATTGATCGTTTATGTGGTTCTCCTAAGTAATTATAATATTATTTCTAATCTGGAAACTATATCTGAAGTCTATTTCGTTATAAATTAAGATTGCGTGATAAATGACAAAGTTATATTCGGACACAGACTATTTATTTCACGTTTAAAATTAAGTCTACACGTTAGCATATACATATAAATGTAGCATAAATTCTCATAAATTATTTTTCATTCATTCATTTTACAAATTTTCATTTCTAGGCAACTCTTTAACTATAAGAATATCGGGTTTCTATATAAAATATAAAAAAAAACCATTTTGTCTATGCGAATGTAAAATGGCGGATGTGTGTATGTGTGCGTTAACATAAATGAATATATACGTAGAAATTTGTAGTCCGTCCGTCGATCGTTAAAAATGGCGTGGTTTCACATTATAAATGGAAGTTTTTCTATATAATTCGTTATTTACAAAGTCGGGCAAAGGGCGGGCATTTTGGATTTAGTTTCTAGGTATAGATATATATTTAAAAAGGCTAATATATCAATTTAACTAAAAATCGCGGGTTACTCACGTGAATATACTGAGAAAAGCTCTACTAGCGGCGATGTCGCGCTGCCTACGATCGCGCACGCTGCTCATGAGGAAGGACCCCTCTGTGGTACGAAACTAGTAGAGCTTTTCTCAGTATATTCCCGTGAGTAACCCGCGATTTTTAGTTGATTTAGTATGTCTCACGATAGTTATTATAAAAACGCAATTAATATATCACTCCAAACACTGCCTTCAATCAAACAACAACATAAATATGTTAATTAAACGAGCAAAATTTCGATAAAAACCGTACGAAAACCTCCATAAAAATTTAACGTTGCAAAACTCAAACATATTATTTAAATATAGATATAATATTGCTGATAAAAAAATCGTATAATACTGGTAATTTACAAAAAAAAAAGTGAAAAACTATTTTTTTTATACTTTATTGCACACATACAGGAACTTATGTGTTACATTGAATTAATATTGTGAATACAATTGACAGTCTTAACACACAAGGCGATTCTTCTTCTTACAGAAAAAAAAATAAAAAATTAATCTGGGAATGGGAATTGTAAACGTATTGTGCCCTTTGCTAGACTGCGGTGGGGAGAATGAAGTAACTTGATATATTTTAAATCGTTTTGAAGTGTGTGTTATAATATATTTAGTAATATAAAATCATCTTTAAATGTATTGGTATAAACGTTGAAGGTTGAAGACTCAATGTATTCATCTCTTTCTCGCACTAACTAAAAACTGTTGAGTGAAAGATATAAGTTAAATGTTAAACTGTAATGTCAAAAATACAAGTTTAAATAAAAACAACTCTAGACATCGTCGCTATTTCAGCCAATTTCAATTAAAAAAAAAATATAAAATAAAGGTTATTAGTTTTGACGGGACGTTATCTAGTTCTACATGGTAATTATGTTCATTTAAAAAAAAAATATTTGTTTCGAATTTTGGAAATAATTCTCGCAAATATAGATAAGGGACGGGATCGAGGGTGGGTTGGTGTTGCGGAAATCTGACATTCTGTACGAAACAATTGAATACTTGACTAACATAACGGGAGCTATCATTGTTTTTTCTCACCAGATGGAGCTAGTGTCAACTTCTCGTCTTTTTGTCCATTAGGGAATTAGCTAGTGTTACCATTAGTCGTTTAATTTTTTCACAGCTACAGTGATTGGACAAAAAAAAATATCTGTAAGTTAGAACCATCTGGTGTTTGAATTGAAAAACGACCGGCCGGCCCCATTATTTGGCTTAAGCTATAAAATTATAAATATGTAAAATAAATAAATAAACACCCGATCGTCGACATGTAAATATCTTGTCAATAGCGTTGTGTTGCGGAAAGTATGTCTATACTCGATTTCATTTAGAAAATGTAGGGTGTTGGGTATTTAACTATTTATACTTAATAGGGTGCAAAGTAGAAGAGAACTAAATTAACTAAAAGTCGCGGGTTACTCACGTGAATATACTGAAAAAGCTCTACTAGTGTCAAACCACAGAGGGGTTTCCTCATGAACAGTGTGTGCGGTCGCGACGATATCGCGCAGCCTACTTTCGTCGCGACCGCGCATAGGAGAGAACTATTGTAATTCGACATTTAAATGCCTGTTATGTAAATACATACAGTATTTTATATAAATTGAAACAAATGCTTTTACTTTTGGTAACGACGATCTCTAAAGTTTATTCCAAAATACATCTGGGAGCGGAGATACAGAGCCCCCATCGCGATTTGTTTTTCATTTCATCGAGCTTTAAAAATGTATTCCTTTTACAATAAAATGCTCTTATTTTAAAAGTAATTAAATTGCCTTTTATTCTGCATAGGTTACTAATTAATAAAATGCTTATATCAGAAAATATTTATCAAGAAATGAAAGAGAAAGGACGCTAGTGGCGCCGTTCCTTTGCACCCAAATGTATTACGACAAAAAATGTAATTATAGAAAGGCCTTCGTCGTTTATACTTGATACATTTTGTTTAAGATGAAAAATTCATTGTAAAATTTCACTTTCTTATGTCAATTCATTCAATAAGTTCATAATAATACATCCCCATTGTGTATTTAGTAACTTATTTAAATTAATTAGTTAATAAATATTTCATTATCATCTCTCATAAGTACATTTACAAAGCAGTGTGTCAGAATATATCTAAATCAAAGTGCACTTAGAAAATTGTGCGTTTACTGGGTTATTTAGACATAAATAATATAATGTTACTGCTAAGGTTGGGCACAGGTCACTTAACGCAAATTATCTTGCTGAAAATGACTCTAAAACATCCTTCATATTTTTTTAAATCCACATTAGCATATTCTCCTGTGGCGTGGGTGCGTACAAATATACAATTTCACATACACGTCACACCCAGACCGGAAACAATTTCTGGATCATAATTATAAAGAGTTGTTCCGTGCGGGATCGAATCTGCAGCCGATTGCATAGCAGCCAGTTGCGCAGCCACTGCGACAGCTGTGCACTGATCTAATCTTACTGACATGTTCAGTTTTCAGTGGCTCATTTTCAGCAACGTAATTTACGAATTATTTACTTACATATGCAATAATCAGGTACACAGGATTTATAAGAAAGTAAGATTAAGCTTTATAAGGGTTTTTTAGAAGCCATAATCATTAGCTTGCTCATGTTACACGTTATACTCTTGTACTCTCGTAGCCCTAGACCCAGACCTTGGTTGATCAAGAAAAATGTAGTAAAGCAATAAATTTTCTGTGCCTTCCTTGGATACAAGTCTTTTTATCCATCTAGTTTCCATACCACGCTTTTCTGTTCATAGAAATAAGTAAATTTCCTAAATAATTGAGTCCAAAACTGCCCAATTACGGTTTATATGAATAATTTCTACTAAACGCGGCGAAAGACTAGTATTAATGAATAAATCATTATATTTAAGCATAGCTACAAACCTGATATTTCACAAAAGTGCCATTTGATATAATAATGGAAGTTAGGTAATATAATTTAACGTCTAAATTTATAATTTGTCTTGTGGCCATTG